TCTTAGAACCCCTTGTGCTTTATCCTAAGGGTCCTCACCACATAATTTTTTCTTAAACAACGAATACTGGAAGGAACTCTAAGTCAAAATGATCTCCAGTTGATGGAGAGAGGGGTCCTGGGTTGGCCTCTTTCTTTTACTTCGAGAGTATCTTCATTATTTTCTTTCATTGAGCTCTGAAAAAGAGACCTAGCAACAGGAACGTCTGCCGACATTTCCTTTCCGGGAGAAAGTTGAAGGGCTGGTCCACTTATCTTAGGACCATGAGGACCCCATGAATGAACTGAAGTGGAATATCGCACATGAAGGACAGCAGCACGTTCTGGTGTGCTGTGGACATGGTCATCCACGGGTCATTTATGAAAGGGCATTTCCTTGCCTTAAAGCTCACAATATCACAATGCTATCTTTCTCAGTAGCATTCATGGCTACAAACAAAGCAAGTGGCTAGAAAATACAGGAACTATACAGTTAAAAAAATGAAGGGTTTTTTTTTTGGAGTACTGAACATTGAACCTAGAGCCTCCCACATCCAATGCATCACTTGAGTCATGCCTCTAGCCCTGCTCAATGATTCTTCATTGAACACCAATTACTTTGTCATAAACCCCAGGGAGCAAAATGAGACAATGTTTTCAGTGAGGTGGAATCCAGTCTTTAGGGAATTCCTATATGATCATATGATAATAGTATACACGATGGATGATTTTTTGGTGGCATTAGAAATATTCTAAATTGTCTGCATGCATCATTTTTTAAAAATTAATAAGGTTTTTTTATTGTGAAAATACCGTACAGAGGGGCAAGGTAATGAGTACGTTTCTTATCAAGCATTGTTGCCTCCTCCTTTGTTTCCCCTTCCCATCCCCGCCGCCCCCCCTTTCGCCTGCCAAAGTTGTAAAGTTCGTTTTTCAACATATCTTGTACATCTCATTGTTGCAATGAGTCCACCTGTCCCTATTAAAACAATTTGTTTTTTCCCTTCCCCTCCACAAATTATACCAGCATCAAATACAGTGAAAACAGGGGTTATACCATGGGGGAGGGAGATACAAAGCAACAAAGAAATCATCTTATAAATACGTTAGAAACAATAGCAAGAAAGAAAAACGATTTGAGTCCTTAAAATGGGCAAGGGTCTCATATCTAAAATATACCTGGAACTCAAAAAATAAATCCCCCAACAACAAATCCACAAAGAAACAACTGCCTGATATATAAGTGGGCTAAAGACTTAGAGAGAAACTTCTCTGAAGAGGAAAGAAGGATGGCCAATAGACACATAAAGAAATGCTCAACCTCTCTAGCCATAGAAGAAATGCAAATCAAAACAACACTTAGATATCACCCCACCCCAGTTAGAATGGCTAAAATCAAGAAATCTAATGACAACAGATGCTGGAGGGAATGTAGATAGAAGGGACCTTACTGCATTGTTAGTAGGAGTGTAAACTTGTTCACCCAATTTGGAAAGTAATATGGAGGTTCCTCAAAAGAGCCCACATAGAGCTCCCCTATGATCCCCCAACCCCACTTTTGGGCATTTACCCGAATGATCACAAACAAGACCATACTAAAGAATCGTTTCTTTTAAACTTCACAACCACCTTGTGCATAGATACTGCCATTTTCCCCATTCTGTAGTTGATAAAACCTAGATTCAAAGGATTTAAAAATGTTGCCCAAAGTTCCAGAATAAAAATAGTCATGTTTAGATTTAAGCCTGAAGTTCTGTGTGGAGACTAGCTAAGTTGGACACAGTGTCTCATACCTAGTTTCCTAGATATTTAGGAGGCTGAGTTTAGGAAGATCATAGTTTCAGGTTATGCCAGGGAAAATGTCAGACTCCAACTCAATCACTAACTGGATATTGTTGATTTGCACCTACTATCTCAACCATACAGAGGCCATGTTGGCCTGGGCAAAAATGTGAGAACTTACTTAAAAATAGCTAAAGCAAAGCAGGACTGTGGGTGTAATTCTAGTGATCAAGTACATGTCTGGCAGTAGAAGACCTTGAGTTCAAACTCCATTCTACCAAGAGTAAATGAGATTAGTTATATGGTACCATTTCACTGCCAAAATAGCAGTGAAATTCACAGGTAGTATCTCAGCAATGCCTATGTCATGGTTTATATCAACATTTTGTTATTATTAGTGATATCAAAATTTTTGGAAAACTTACCAATTTAGAAAAAAATGAAGAAAATTATTGATCTCTGAATCCTGTCGAGAATGCACCTACTTTCTTAACTGAGAGTATCATATTATTATAAAACAAAGATCAATAAGTTGGTCAGCTCTCTGTTCATTGAACATTTGCTGATTATTAAAGTCATTTTCCCTGAATACCAAACAAGAATATATCTAATGTAATTATGTTAAAGTATATGACTTTTACCTGCTGGCTTCCTTTTTTTTAAGGGTCAATATTTTATGTTACTTTCAAAGTATATAAAGTCCCTTAAACAAATAAATAGAAATTAAATGATGAATGCATGGATATTTAAACTAAACTGAGCATGTCATCTTTTAGCTCCCCAAGTTACCTTTCATCTCCATCTGTTTAAATTTAAATGCACTGTTTGAGAAAATAGCAGTTGTCAGGTGTCATGTTAAGGTGTTCATTAACTTTCTACTCTCGGTCACTTTAATAGCATTGAAATGAATCTACACAGGAGTGTATTAGACTGCTTTTGAGCATGTGTGTTTGATCTCTTTTCTGACTTTTGAAAAAGGAAAAGGAATATGCATTAAATATAGTGCTTTGAATGTCAAATGGGTATATAATTTTCGAGCTTGCCACGCATTAATTGGTCTCTTCCTCAGTGAGGATACAAATAAAATTCATAGCCAATTAGTTTTCAGTCATAAATCTTTACTCCCTGACAAAGTGAACTATTTTGTTGAGGAGACTCAAAGAAATGAAGAATACCAGAGTCTCCCAACTGAAGTTACCTTTAAGAAATAGTAAGTACAAATGAGGCTAGAGCTACCTCAGTTACTACCCCACTAGATACGTTCTGGTTTTCAGGGTGGATTAATGGAAGAAGTTTGCAATAGAATTTTAGTAAGGAGACAGATGCACTATTTTAATTGTGGAAATTAAATATTGAAGAGAGACCAATTTCTTTGCTTGCAGACACACTAAATCATACCAGGTTTGGATACTGGAAGCTGAGGATGTGTTGTTGGATGATGTAGCTATAATCATGTAGTTGATGGCACAATGCTGGAAAGTTCCACAAGATGCCAATTACAAAATAAAGACCAGTTATTTCTAAATAAAAATGTAAGCTTCATTAAATTTCCATAGAATTTTTACATTGTCTCACAGGGATAATCATGGCTCTGACAGAAAAAAATGGGACAATTTTCTCCAAGTTTTCAATTAATTTATTTGGTTTTACTTGGAAACAGCAATCAGATTCTGTTATGTGAAACTAGCTACTTGGCCCGATTCCTATCAACCCTTGAATCTTTAAAAGACTGAAAAAAAAGATGAAGAATCAAATAGTATGGGCATTGTTAATTACCAATCTTTTGGTTTTGTTTTTTTTGGAACTGGTCCTGAGGCTTGAACTCTGGGCCTGAGTGCTATTCCTGAGCTTTGGTATTCTAGATTCTCTACCACTTGAGCCATAGCTCTATTTCCACCTTTGTGTGTGTGTGTGTGTGTGTGTGTGTGTGTGTGTGTGTGTGTGTGTGTTTAACTGGAGATAAGATTCTCACACACTTTCCTGCCCTGGCTTGCTCTGACCACAATTCTCAGATCTCACCATCTAAGTAGCTAGGATTATAGGTGTGAGCCACTGGCAACTGGTTTAATCACTTTTTGGGACAACGTTGGAAGTCTTGATAGTGTTTTTCAGTTTCATGGATAGGAAAAAATTTACGGGTCAACTTTATGGAAAATCACCTGCATTCTTTAAATCCATACATAGGTCTGTCTGGTGATACCTGCCAACTGTCCCTGTCCAGATGATCCTATGTGGTTCGGCAAACATAAATCATCAACAGATTGGCAAATAGGGGCTTGTTCAATTGAAGCATGACTGAGTCTGTAGGACCTTGGATCAATTAGAGTAATCATGCTGTATGCCCTAATAATTATGAGAAAAGGATGTTGTTTCAGAATTTGGGAGTATTTATTAACAAAATAGAAGCCATAGCATTAGTTTTCTTTGAGATGATGCTCTAATAATCTGATCAGTGTTCTCAGGAGATCAAACATCTCTTGTGGGTCCAAATTTCCCACAAGCATTTTCAAAGGGCAGTCTCTTGTGTTGAGATAATGAAAAGTCATGGTATAAATCAGACTTCTAATAGTGAATTAGGCTTGTTTCAGCAGAAACAATGTAAAGGAATGTTTGGCAGAAAACTTATATGATGAAATTAATTGATGTTCATTACAATTCAAATATCAATGGCATGTGGACATCGATTTTAGGAAATTTTTTAAAGCCCTAAAATTGTTCTTTTGAACACACACAGATCAGTTCCTTCCAAGACAAAAGTACTGGGAGTTTACCTAGTAAATTTCAGTACAAAATAATTAATGCCTACATCTTTGTATCCATGTCTCTTATTGATAAAGGCATGACATAGATATATAAAGGGCAAAGGCTCACAGCACACGTACACACACATATATACAAACACCCACGCAAGAGCTTTACTCTACATTTTTTGCCTTCTTCAAGAACAACGATAAAAATTTCTGGTATCGTCAGTCTCAGCATCTCTTCTGATGCTGAGTATTTCTGATTTCTTGAAAATGAATGACAAAATTAATACAAGCTGCCTGTGGCTTTGTCCAGTGGGCCATTCTAATTGACTCCCAAGTCATTAATCAGTCCCCAATCAATCTGTATTGCCAGCAGCAGCAGTTACCCACCATTCATCAAGCCCTGCCCCAGTTCACTGCACCATTAGCCATGGATTAGGCCTCTGTTAGAATAGCTAAGTGCCAACTGTTACACGCTGAGAATTTTTGTTACCTCAGCCACTGGGATCCCTTCAGGTGGTCGGCACTGCAGTAGGACTTCCTGTTCCAATGACACTTCCTTTCCCAGGGGCTCTTGCTCAAATGTCTTTCGTAGATCTGGAGGTAAAGGTGATAAAATAAATATACATCAAGGCTTAATCACATGTATCCATTTACAGAAAGTGCTAAATACATTTCCCACTTCAGTATTTTATGTCTGGGTATTTTTTAGCCACATGCTGTGAGTGCTGTACAATAATTTGGGTAGTTATATTCCTTCTGGTGGAAGTTACGGAATTCAATGTCTGTAAATTGCACCTACTTTACACTTCAATAGAAGCCTTTGGAGATCTTATTTTAATAATTAGTGAAATTTGTTAATTGTATTTTAGCATTGCCTGATAATCAACTATGATGATCATATTTTAAATTTAAGAAACCAATTTTCATAATTCTTACACACAGAGTCCCTTAAGCGCATAAATATTTTCCTCTTTCCTCACAAAAGATACTATTAAAGTTGTAGTAACTCTGGAGTCTTTTGATCAATAAATCAAAAATGAACTTCTGTTGCAGGATGGAAAATAGGACTCTAAGGAGTTTCCCAAGAATGTGTAACTTCTTGAAATGTCTGAAATACAAGGCAGGGAGATGAACTATTTAGAAGAGTCTAGAAATAACTCTGTCTCTAGCATTGAGACCAATTTTCAATTTGAAGATTAAATAGTCATTTCTGCTAAAATAGACCTCATTATGAATATACATAGCTGTACTTGCTACAGTAATAGGGAGCAGGCTTTTAGCAACTCCATGGTTAGATATCAAAATGGGAAGAAACCAGCTTGTCATTAAAAACCCATCAGAGGGAGTTACTTCAGGAGGTAGGTTTAAATAAGCCATTATCGAATGCATTATCCGATGATTTTGCTTTAATGATTTAGCTTCAAAACTCTAAATACGTTTATTTAATTTCTTAAAGTTAATTGCTGAAGTTAAAAAATTACTCAGCCTTAGAGTTTGAAAGCAGCAGATTTTTAAAACCCATGAAGCTTTATTTTGTACACAAAATAGATCAGATCCTTTTAAGGCAGTTTACCTACCGAATTTCAGTAGAAAAACAAATTTTTTAAAGGAGGGAAAGAAAGGAAAAGAAACACGAAAGAAAATAATAATGTCTGTCTCTAATATCTCTGCCCCTGGTAAAGACAAAAGGTCTGAAAGCAAGACTGCAGTCTAGTACACTAACAGATGGCAATCCCAAGACTCAAGTGGTATGCCCAATAGATCCTGCCAGGAATCATCTGAAATAATGCACTGAGAGAAAAGCCATTCACTGAAACACATTTATTGCTCTGTGGAATTTCTAGGAGGAAGGAAATCTTCATAAATGTAATGGTAGTATGAAAATAAGGATCTAGGAGATTCTGATCTAAGTCTAGACTCTTCAAATGATCACAGACTTTTTGAAAGAAAGCCAGTTGAAATTTATCAAAAGAATCTATATATTGCTTAAATGAACATTTGGACACAATGTTACAATAAAGAGTTACAATAAAGTTGAAAGTTATTATGCATTATGTCCCAGGAACAAGATTATGAAATTACTCATAGCCTCACAGCAAAATGATTGATGTTGCTGACTCTCAATTTTATACAATTTGTCATCCCACATTTCTTTTTGGTTCATTTGTGCTCCTCTAACAGGAACATTGAAAATTTTCTATTCTGATTAGGTATTTTTTGTTTGTTCTTCATCTGTATTGAGATCAACATTCTGGCAAAAAATACCAACAAAAACTATAGCAGGGGCTGGGAAGGTGGCTCAGTGGTAGAGTGCTTGCCTTGCATGCATGAGGCCCTGGTTCAATTCCTCAGCACCACATAAGCAAAAAGAAAAAAGCCAGAAGTGGTGCTGTGGCTCAAGTGGTAGAGCACTAGCCTTGAGCTGAAGAGCTGAGGGACAGCGCCCAGGTCCAGAGTTCAGGCTCCATGACCAGACCCCCCCCCCCAAAAAAAAAAAGTACAGCAGTGAATAGCTTTTATAGGATAAATACTATTGATAAGTTGTATCCTATTTGCACAAAATGACTCTGAGGAGCTCTCATCTGATGTGGACATATTTGAAGGTATAAAAAGTAGAACTAAATCTCAGATTAAATAAACTATGGACTCATTCTCCCTTATTAATCAAGTTGCATAAAATGACGGTATGATCAAGGAATGCATATTTATGTCTGAATACTCAAATAAATTTCTCTTGATGTTTATTAGTTGTCTTGTAATGCTAGACATTTTATTAGGTATTAGGATGAAGATGTATAAGATGCAGAACCAAGACTCAAAATCTAAGGAAAGTTCTGTTCATGAAAGACTTTTTCCCCTGGAAAGAAATAGCAAACTTTCCATATCCTTGAAGTATTGGAGAAAGCTGAGATGTCATATTGCTCTCAGGAAGACCCAGATATCTGCAGAGTGCCAGGAGGAAAGAATATTGCTATATTTTAGTTACTGCATTATTAGTTTAATACCCACCATAAATGACATAGCATTGAGTTGGTCAGGAAAGTGAGGATAACAATAATTACTTTATCCTGACACATTTATTTAGTATATCTTTAGTGTTCAAATAAAAAGCCCAGTACATCTACAGCATGCTTTCTAAACCTTAACATGATCAAGTTTGGAGATTGGAAATTTCTATTTGCTGTGAGTTTGTCCTATCAAAAGTTCAGATGCTCAGCATCACCTGTGGTCTCTACTCACTGGATGCTGGAGAAAGCCTCACAACTGTGACAAAATAAATGGTTACAGACAATGTCAAGTGGCTCCTCAATGGAATGGGGAGGGAGAATGCTCCTTCTTTCCAATTGATAAATGGTGGTTGGACTGGAGCTTGCAAAAGTCCTGCTACTCAGACAAGGGTCTCATACCTAAAATACATTTAGAGCTTAAAAAATTGAATCCCCCCAAAACAAATTCTCAAAGGAATAACAACCTAATTAATACATGGGCTAAAAACTTAAAGAGAGACTTCTCAGATGAAGGTAAGAATGGCCAATAGACACATGAAGAGATGTTCAACATCTTTGACCATAAATGAAAAGCAAATCAAGACAACATTGATATTCCACCTGATCCCAGTTTGAATGGCCATTATCAAGAAAACTAATAATAACAGATGCTGGTAGAGATATGGCCCAAAGGGAACTCATGGCTGCTGGGAATATAAACTTGTTCAACCACTCTGGAAAGTACTATGGAGATTCCTTAAAAGGTTAAATATAGAGGTCCTCTATGGCCTAGCAATCCCACTCCTGGGCATTTACCCAACTGACCGCAAACCAGGCCACACTAAAGCCAACAGCACAACCATGTTCATTGCAGCATTGTTACTGTAGCTAAGATATGGAATCAACCTAGATGCCACTCAGTGGACAAATGGATCAAGGAAATGTGGTATGTATAATGGAATTCTCTGCTTCCATCAGAAAGAATGGCATTGGCCCACTTGTAAGGAAATGGAAAGACTTGGAAAAATTATATTAAGCAGATTAATCCAGATTCAAATAAATGTAGGTTGCATGTTTTCCTTCATTTGTAATAATTAGAAAGTTCCTGTAAGTCCACAAGTAAACCCAATGGATAGTGAAAGTAAAAAATGTCCACTTGGACATGATAAATTAAATGGGATTCTAAACATTCACACAATGAGACTAAAGCAGGATATTTTTAGGAGAGGATCACAAGGGCTCAATAGCTATATGCATATGATCATATACAATGATGCTTATTGAAATGAACTCCAAGAAATGGAAACAAGAAGTTTTTTTAAATTGTACTGTCTATAGTTCTTTTCTTTTTCTTCTTCTTTTTCTATTTTTCACCTTTTCTCTCTGTTTTTTTAAATTTCTATATCTTTTATCTTGTATGTAAGTTTATCTGATTTGGAGAGGGGAAGGAGAAGCTAATTCAGCAGTGATATTCACTAGACCCTATGTAGAAAATGAACTATACAGCTGGGTGATGGTGGCTTATGCCTGTAATCCTAGCTACTCAGGAGGCTGAGATCTGAGGATTGCAGTTCACAGGCAGCCCAGGCATGAAATTACCTGAGACTCTTATCTCCAATGAAATCACCAGAAAGCTGGAAGTGGCACTGTAGCTCAAGTAGTAGAGTGATAGCCTTGAGCTGAAGAGCTGAGGGATAGAGCCCAGGCCCAGAGTTCAAGCCCCACAACCAACAAAAGAAAGAAAAAGAAAGAAGGAAAGAAAAAAAGAAAGAAAGAAAGAAAGAAAGAAAGAAAGAAAGAAAGAAAGAAAGAAAGAAAGAAAGAAAGAAAGAAAGAAAGAAAGAAAGAAAGAAAGGAAGGAAGGAAGAAAGAAAGGAAGAAAGAAAGGAAGAAAGAAAGGAAGAAAGGAAGGAAGGAAGGAAGGAAGGAAGGAAGGAAGGAAGGAAGGAAGGAAGGGAGAGAAAGAGAGAGAGAGAGAAAGAAAGAAAGAAAGAAAGAAAGAAAAAAGAAGAGAAAGAAAAATGAACTATACAACTTGTGGGGGAAAGGGACCTAGGAGGAAAAATTGGGAGAAAATAGAGGAGGTGACACTGTTCAAAAAGAAATGTACTCATTATTTGAGTATAACCCCTTTCTACATCACCTTTAAAATACAAAAAGAAAAAAATTCTGCCTGCTAGGACTTCCTAGGTGCCATCACAGCAAAGGGACTTCTGTACAAATAAAAGGGACATCAATATTTAATGTAATGGTTTAAGGACACAACTTAGTATGTCAGGTTGAAGTGAGGTAGACTTATAATGCCTGATCTTCACTGCCACTGTGATTGAATTGAGAAACATGCGGGGAATTGACAAAACACACTCTGGAGTATTTTTGAAGGCATTTCTAGAGATGATTAGATTATGAAGGACCTGATGTAATTAATGGTATAATTTATTGATGTATTACAGGCATGCGCAGAAATCTTCCAAGGAAATCTCCCACCTCTTACAATTAATACACACTATTTACAAAAAGAGCTTAAAAAAGTGAGGAGGTTGGTAAGACAAATGGAACAGTGACATTTGTTCAAAGGGGAGAAAAGGATACACTGGTGTAGGAAAT